CATTTATATGAAACAACCGCAGGGTTTCATATCCAGTGGGAGCGAACAAATGGTTTGTAAGCTTCAAAGGTCCATTTATGGACTTAAACAAGCTTCGAGGAGTTGGAACAGTCGGTTTGATGAAACAATCAAAACGTTTGATTTTCATAAGAACACGGATGAACCATGTGTTTATAGAAAGGTTAATGGGAATGCAGTTGTATTTGTTGTACTCTATGTTGATGACATCTTACTCATTGGGAATGATGTAGGGATGTTGCAATCAACTCGGACATGGTTGTCAAAACAGTTTTCCATGAAATACTTGGGAGAAACATCTTTTATCCTTGGGATAAAAATCTATATAGATAGATTTAAAAGGATGATCAGACTATCCCAGTCAACGTACATAAATAAGGTGCTAAAACGGTTTAGCATGGAAGAATCCAAATGTGGACATATTCCAATGAGTCATGGGGTTTCACTTTCTAAGACGATGTCTCCAAAGACACCTGAAGAAAGAGAACGGGTGAGTCATATACCTTATGCATCAACTATTGGTAACATTATGTATGCGATGTTATGTACAAGACCTGATGTGGCTCATGCACTTAGTGTAACGAGAAGATATCAGTCTAATCCAGGTGAAGAACACTGGAAAGCCGTTAAGATGATTCTTAAGTACTTAAGAAGGACTAAGGATATCTTTATGGTGTATGGATATGGAGAATTGAAACTAGAAGGCTTTACTGATTCTGGTTTTCAGTCAGATAAAGATGACTTTAAATCGATGTATGCATACATCGATTTGTTAAACCCGTTATAGAAACAAATTTATATCGGGTGTCTATGAAACCCGTTATAATATTTTCAGAGTCTCAATTATCTATAACTGTTATTTAAACAATTGTTATAAAAGTTTTCAGATTCTCAATTATCTATAACGGTTATTTTAACAATTGTTATAAAATATTTCACATTCTCAATTATCTATAACTGTTATTTAAATAATTGTTATAAAATTTTCAGATTTATCAATCCGTGCGTCACTGTGTCTCTCGCCCAAGAAAATACTTCTCCCTGCGCCAAAATCACATACTCTCAACCAAAATCACACAACCTATCGAAATCGCCCAAAATCGCACAGTTCCAAGCCCTATTCCAAGTCTCCCGTTGCCGTTCGTGCCAAGACACAGTCGTCGTTCTCGCTGCTCTGAGCCCTCGCTGCACGAACCCTCGCCATCCGGTGTTGGCCGTTCCAAGCCCTATTCACACTCGTCCGTCGTCGTTTGTACTAAGCCCCCGTCGTCGTTCGTACCACACCGGTGCTCGCCGTTCGTACCAGGCCCTGTTCGCACGTCCCCATCCCCCGCAGCGCTCCCCGTCCACTGCGTTTGAGCGCTCACCGTCCAAGTATGTATCTATTTTTACAAGCCAAAATTGATTCTGTCAAATTTTCAGATTTTTTGTGGTTCAAACCTTTGTACATAGTTTGCTGTTGCTGCAAGTCTATAACGGTTACTGCTCATACTTCTAGTGGTCAAATTTTCAGATTTTTTGTTGTTCAAACCTTCTGTCAAACCTTGTAGTGCTCATACTGCTAGTCTTCTTTTCCTTTGTAGATAGTTTGTTGTTGCTTTAACCTTGGTTGTTGTTTATTTGGTTAGTTGTTTAGTCTTGGTTTTTTGTTTGGTTTTGTTGATTGTTTAGCTTCTGTGGACAAGTAGTTTGGGCTTTTTTTCTTCATTATAGTTTAGAGCACCAGGGTTTAGTTTATCAGATTTAGGTGACTTTTGAATTTCTTGGTGGCAGTATAATATGTAGTTGAAGGCAGTGATTGTTTTCATGGCTGTGAAGAAATTAACGAAACAAAAATTATTCTTCTTGTGTTGCGGCTGAAAGTGTGAAAGATGAACAAAAGTGAAGCTCCTATTCAATGCTCTGTCAACAATTGGAGACACACTTTATATAGTGCTTACAACGAAAACTAAAGCTAGAAAAAACAAAATTAAATACTTTGTTGGAAAGGAAAATAAAGGAAAAAGGGTTACATAAAAATATATAATCTGCATTTGTCTTTATGTCCATCAGTAGTCTTCACCCTTTAATGGAGGGCTAGCCCATATGTAG